TCCTTATACAAATTTTCCATCTTCAACATGTTTTAAGTTTCACGTTGTCAAAAGAAGTCTACACATTTTAAAACAAAAAAGCAAAATGTAAAAAAGCAAATTTTTATTTATTTTTGTGAGATTATACGGTTATGATTGGCATTTTCCAAAAATCTGGATGTCTAAAACGAATTCATAAATTTGTCATCACAATATTGGTGGGGATGATTAGACAAATTTTGGTTAGCGTTTTACCATCTTCTCGATATTTCTAACATACATATAAAATTTAACAGCGATCGGTGCGATAGTTTTGGAGATTATTTATTTAATAAAATTTGACCGATACGGTGGACAGACAGACGAAAACGGGAGACCTATTCTTTGATACTCTTGGCCATGTAACGTCCAGAAAACATGAAAATAGTCATTCACGGAAAGGAGCCTATTACAATACTTCCGTAAGTTTAAAGGTCGGGAAGTACAAATCGCCACAAGAGGGGAAGGGTGGGTGGGCGGGGCTAATTTTTATATTGTTTTATTGGATCTACTATGATGGCCATTAATATAACCCATTTCCTATTTTTGAACTACAAAAATCATATTAAAAAGGAGGGTGGGTGGGTGGGTTGAATTTTATTTAATTGTTTTATCTTAAATTCCAATAAAGCGACAAAAACGGACATCTAAAAAATATCACAAAAAAACATCATTAAAAAAGATGCTCATGGTAACCTTAGATCATCTGCAAAACTTAAGTACAATGTTATCTTACAATTTCGATTTTTTTTTCTTGAATTACAAGTGTAAGAGTGTTATTTTATAAATTTAATAACATTTAATATGTAAACTTGTCATTATATGATTGGTGGGAGTTGATCAGACAAATTTTGATTGGACACAGACAGACAGACGGAGGAAAATGGGGGACCTATTGTTTGTTTCATACTCTATGAAACTTCCAGAAAACATGAAAGTAGCCATTTGTGGAATGGAGACTATTATAGTTAGTATGTCCTTAAATAAAGCACGGGAAGTAAAAATCGCCACAAGATGGCGTGGGTGGGTGGGGTTAATTTTTCTTTTTTTTATGAGATTCTACTATGATAGCTATTAATAATAATCCACTTCTTATCTTTGAGATAAAAAAGTCACATTAAAAATTAGGATAGGCTAAAAAATACAACAAAAAATCCCATCTTAAAAAAATGCCAAATAGTTACAAAACAACCAAAAAAACGCCTAAAATAATATTATCCAGCAAAATTTTAATATGGCGTCATCAACTTTTTAGAGAAAACATTTTAATTAGTGGTTTACCAAGCTCCCGATAACCTTAAAACGTCTGTAAAACTTAAATAGTAAAATGTTGTCATACAATTTCAATTTTTTTTGTTAAAAAAATCTGGATGTCGAAGGTAAAAAATCAACACGGATTCATCAATCGCAAGTGTAAGAGTATATTATTTTATAAAACTTTAAAACCATTTACTATGTAAAACATACGGGAAAACTTTTCGGAGATGACGATGATTTATCGATATGAAAAACACGTACATAAACAAGAAATGGAATAAAAAAAGCAAAATATATATTGTTCCATGATTTCTGGATCTTCAGCTAAATTTATAATGACATTACTTATTTCCACATTTCCGGGGTGAAACAGGAGACTGTCTCCGCCCAATGATTAATACTCCGATTTTTATCGTCAATTACCCAATCAACATGTTTATTTTAATAGCGTCTGCATTGACTTCCTGCTAACTCAATGCGGTTATATTCGCGGTGGTAGGATAGAAGTCTTAAAACATCAATTCCATGTACGTATAAAATTGTTCTTATCTCTTTTAAGTCGAATAGAACATTGTCCATTACAACAACAATTTTGAAACCATCAAAATATGAAGTCAGAATCAACTGTTTTTCCACCCACATATCACATATCCAAACAATTCCCCATTCATGATTTAATGGTAATCTCTATCGTTATTACTTGAGTTTAAGTCTCCCAAATACTACAAGGTTATATGGCTATTGTAAAATTAGGGTATTGCGACAATGGATCAGTTAATAAGGGCAAACCCACAGTTCTAAATCCACAAATGTTTAAGCGGATTACCCAGCAGTAGATATTGAGGTGGCAAGAAATTGACAACATCCCATTATTAAGTTTAGTGGGGCCATATAACCTTGTAGTATTTGGGAGACTATACTTTCAACAAGAATTTTTTGTTATTTTGCAGCTTACATTTAGACATTGCCTACTATTTTTTAAATTTTACACAATAAAAACCGCCTTATTTTTTTCTGTAAAACCAAGTAAATCATGTTCGCCCATACTTTCATAATTCTTCTTGAAAATAATAATCTTGGCAACGCTGTTAACAAAAATATCGGTAATAATCAGTTATGGCAACTACTATTTGCAAAAACTTATTAAAGTATTATAAAAATATAAATTCCACAAGCGTACTTTTGGTACTTCTTCATTTATTTAGTGATGTGGCGTAAATCTATTGCAAAGCTGGCAGTAAGGTTTAGGACAAATTTTCAGCGCAATAATCGTCAACGTAAATTCTCGGCCTTGATGTCTGCAGCCCAAGGCAAGCGCCCTTGTTTCCATCTTTGCATTAGAGTAGCCGTCAACTTTCAAATTACTCAATTTGATTACAAATTCTAAATTAATCAGTAAAAATGGGGGTTTAAAAATATTTATTTCGAACATATCCAGGTATCAGTCTGCTAACAAAGCTTGCTGACACTTGTTGACAGATTCCACCCAACTCCTTTCTTAGTTCTGACTTACAGAACGGTTAGAAGAAAGTGAAAATGACTGCAGTTGTTTGTGTGTATTAACTTTCAGGATCCTTCACAGCGTGACTAACCACAAATTCCAATAAAAATTTGAACGGTTTTCCAAATTCTGTGAAATTATATGGCACCAGCAACTAATAATGGTGAACAATAATAATAATAATCCCTTTTTTGCGGTTAGTCACCGCCACGAGTCTACGTCGTATTCATAAACCAATATTTTGTATATCAACATCTTGCCAGCGGATTTTTGACTTGTGTTAGTTCACGTGTTATTATACTTTTATCGCACTAGAGTTGACGGATGATTAATCCTTTGTAAACCTTCAAAACTATTTTTTTTTTTGCATCCAAAGACAGATGTTGTTTAAGCTCAGAATACTCGTTTAGATAAAATTTCAGAAATGGATTTTTAATACGTTGCTTAGTTTAATGAGTTTGTTCAAGTAAGTACGAAAATAAGATAAATATCCGAAAATCTAATTACTAGCTAATGCTTCCAATATCTACCTAATTATTGTTACGTAATCCATGTTTGTTCATTAAACTGAATTAAACACAATGTTTCCCTATCTTTTAGAATTTCTCTTTGTTTATACATATTTAGATAAATATATACTGGGTGTTTTAAAAAATACTAATGCTTCCAATATCTACCTAATTATTGTTACGTAATCCATGTTTGTTCATTAAACTGAATTAAACACAATGTTTCCCTATCTTTTAGAATTTCTCTTTGTTTATACATATTTAGATAAATATATACTGGGTGTTTTAAAAAATACACCTATAATTCTTGGAGCAGATTTTTATCATTTTAAAATACATATCTGTTTGATGGCAAGAACATTTCGGTAGAACCGGAAATGACATCAACTTCATTTTTTTAAACGGAACACTCGGAATATTTTCTTATAAATGGAAAGCTTGCTTTTTTTACTACTACAAATCAAATAAAAAAGACACCCTGTATATACAAGCTTCTTTGCTTGCGAAGAAATCAGTGCCTGAATTTTGTAAACCTGTTGAAACGCATTTGATGGAACGTTAATATTATTTATTTTTCGTAATTACATACATATTTATAATTTAAAGCAAAGTAAAAACAAAATATTGTTTATTTTACATACGAGTGTTTACACGAGTAAAACGCAAAATAATTACAATTTTGGTACGACGGCCTAATACAACCCTGGAAACGAAGCACTTTTAGAACAGGGGGATAGAATAATACTCCATCCAAATGATAATAATAATCAATAAGACGCTGGATTTTGAATATAACGTTACTCTGTGACCCAAATCTCAAAGATAAAAATGAGATTTTAAAATTTGACCACACTATCAGTGAATTGGCAAATAATTACATTATCAATATAAATTGGTTTTTTCGTTCGATAAAATTTAGCACACCTAAACAACTAAAAAAAAGTAGTAAACAAGTAAGCATACGTATAAAGTTGGTATAAAATATTCCTTCCGCCAACACCCACATACTGTTTATCACACAATATCTAATTTAATTTTTTTAGTAAGAAACAAATTTAATAATAAAATGTATCACAACAAAAAGCCAAAAATTGTCCATCTTAAGCGACGTCTGGAAACGCCCACTACGTTTTTAACATCATCTCAAATGCAGCACACACCAGCGCGAATTATTTATAATTTCTTCAAGAGTGCAGACACTACCAAAATTCAATGTTCCGTACTAAATCGTTGAGCAGATGGTTAGAAGAAGTTGTAATTTAACCTAATTAACAGGGTTTAAATTGGTGCGTCCGGTTCGGGAGTGAAATAACACACATATGGAACTTTAAAATCGTGAAAGGTACCTTCTCAGGTGCACTCGCATACCTGTTCTGCAGCTAAATAAAAGAAGAATGTGACCTGACCAATCTGACCTCCATCTCCATTTACGATATAGGATACGCTAGACGAAAGGGCACCAACCCCGAAACCATAACAAAGCCAATTGGGCAATTAACTTACAATAAATTATAGTTAGTTATACGCACTAATGACCATGTTTTTTGAATTAGATATTGACATGAAGGCGCTACTACAAGGACGTAATCGCCTTCCAGTAAACAATTATGCATTTCTCAACTGGAACCAATCAACTTTTGGTCATTTTTTTCAATTAGTTAAATATTTTCGGATGATGCGCATCTGCTTTTCTTGTATTTAACAAATCAACTTACCACTGCAAAAATGTTCAAAGACGCCTTGGTAAAAAATTCACATACAATACGAAAAAAACTTCTTATAAACAAAATAATAACACTACCACTAAACGTAACTAAACTAAAACGTAAAACCATCGACCCCAACGAAATGGACTGCGGAACTGAAGGAAAAATAAACTCGGGGTCTTGCGACAAAAACTGCTTGTGCACATGCGCACAAAGCCACTGTGACCTCAGCACGCGCTGCCAACTTTACTATCAGTGTCGCGATATTGGCAGCAGTGCTTGTAAAAATCACCAACACGACCAAATGTCACTGTTGACAGTCTAATAAGATTACAACTCTTGTTTTTACAAATAAAGCAGAAAATAATTAACACAATTAAGCGTTAAGTTTACGTACTATTTAACCATGGCGTTGCCAGAAACCAGCGAAACGCCTGAGAAAAAATCCGACGGACAAAAAGGTTCTGACAAAAAAGAGAAACTTGCAACTAAAGTCGTCATCCGCCGATTACCACCCAGCATGGACCAGGAAACGTTTTTGAACCAGATATCGCCGGTCCCCAGCTACGACTATTTATACATGGTAAAAGGGGACGCCAGCTTGGGGGAAAATTCGTTCTCTCGAGCTTACATCAACTTCTCCAACCCCAACGACATTTACGACTTTAAAGAAAAATTTGATAACTACGTTTTTCTGGATAGTGCAGGCCATGAATATCCAGCGGTCGTGGAGTTTGCAGCTTTCCAGAAAATCCCCAAACGACGGACTAAAATCAGAGTGGATCCGAAAGTTTCTACTATTGAAACAGACCCGTATTATTTGGAGTTCATTGAAATGATTAATAAGCCGCCTGAGCCGGACGAGAAACCGGAGTATTCATACCAAATTACAGACAACAAAAACGAGGCAAATGAAATAACACCTTTGTTGGAATACGTGAAAAATAAAAGAGTGGAGAAGATGCGAATCCGGGAGGAGCGCAGAGAAGAGCGGAAGCGGAAAGAGTTTGAAAGAAAAAAATTCAGAGATGATGACCGAAAAAAAAGGTATGAGGAAAGGTCACCAGTCAAGAATAATAAAAACCAGTACACCAAAGTGGCAAGTCCTAAGGAGAAAACAGAAAATAAGGAATCTGATAAACCTAAAACAGAAGAAGCAACCAAAAGCACGGAAGATAAAACTCCCGAAAAAGAAGAAGTTGACAAGTATGAAAAACCGGCCCCCACGTCGTATTACAAAGGTAGAGACAAAAAGTATGATGACCGGAAAAAAGACATCAAAAATAAATATGTTCCTAAGAAGGAATACGTTGATAAGCGCGAATTCAAAAGCCGGCGAGAAGACTACAAAGATAGAGATTACAGGTCAAAGTATGATGACTATAAAAAAGAAGATGCGAAAGTTTACCAAAAGAAAGTAAAAAAATATAGTGAGAAAAGAGAGGAGAGAAAAATTGAGGCACAGAAAGCGGAACAGAAGAAGCTCGAGCAGCAACAGCAACAAGAAACTTCGCCCAAAACTGAAGACAGTGTGAAGACAGTTGAAGAGAAACCCGCTGAAAGTAGCAAGAAGGATGAAGAGAAAGCGTCACCGAGCAAGGAAAGTGAACCTAGTCAAGAATGTGCTTCAAAAAACACAGAAAAAGAAGCAAAATGTAAAGAGGGCGAAATTCAGTCACAAAGGAGAATCCGGAATAAAGACAGGCCCACAATTGCTATTTACAGGCCTGGGATGTTGTCCAAGCGGAAACAAACAGACGGAGACCCAGAAACCAAGGAAAATAAAAAAGAATAATTTATTGGATTTGTATGTGATTAAACGTAAATTAAACACTCGTGTACCGAATTTTATTATTTAATTAGTAAAAACATAACCATAAAAGTTTTGTATACATAGAATTCAAGGTTAGGAAATTATAACCTCAATTTAGGTTAGGTATTTTAACCATAAGTAATGGGGTAATTGTGTGTTACCGAAAAACACGCAAAAATGGGTTTGTGCAGATTTTTATCCCCCTCGTATTTAACCCGAAAATCAACAGTTCAACGCTCCTGCAGTTTTCAAAATTTAAAGAAACCCCCTTGGAAGGTGCTGTTCTTTGGGACCGACGATTTTTCAATTTTTAGCTTGGAATCTTTAACAAAACAGTAGTAAGTTCATTTTTTAACACAATAATTTGTCTTTAACGTTGCACTTCAGCAGGAAAGGAACGTTAATAAATCGACTAGAAGTCGTCACCACTGTAAAAGGTAAACCAAACAGTGTGAACGTGTTCTCGAAGCAAAACAATTTAAAACTACACAAGTGGCCACCAAATATCACTTATGGGCAGTTTGACGTAGGTTTGGTGGTTTCATTTGGGCACCTAATTCCAAGGACTGTTATAGAAAAATTTGAATTGTAACTACTGGTGTTTGTTTTTATTTTCACTGCAATTTGTTTTTCAGTGGTATGTTAAATGTTCACGCCAGTTTGTTACCGCGGTGGCGGGGTGCAGCCCCCATTATCTATGCAATTGCCAATGGGGACACCCAAACAGGAATCACAATAATGAAAATAAGCCCTGAGAAGTTTGATGTGGGGGAAATAGTTCATCAGGAGTGTGTTCAAATTCATGCTGACATGAAAATGAAACAACTATACACAACACTGGGTAAAATTGGAGCAGAAAATTTAGTCAAAACTCTTGAATCTTTACCCTCAAGTTTGAGTCAAGCCAAACCTCAACCTTCCACAGGAGTCACTTATGGTAATTTTAGTTTTTGTAATGAACTGTAAACAAGGTTTAAATTTCAGCCCCAAAAATTAGCCCACAACTCTCACATATAAAGTGGGAAAAAATGACGTCTCAAGAAATATATAACTTAGCGCGTGCTCTAGACGGTATTTTCCACGTTCAAACAACATGGAGTGGAACACTAGTTAAATTAATAAATATAGAAAAAGCGGAAAATGACATTAATGAAAATGAAAATTCTCAGCCTGGACGTGTCCACTACGATAAACAAAACAAAGTATTGAGGATTTTATGTTGTGACAACCAGTTCATCACAGTAGAAAAAGTGGGTGTAGTTGGTAAAAAAATTATGACCTCTGTAGACTTCAACAACGGCTATATTAAAAAAGAGCCGCCTGATTGTAGATGTTTTAAATAAATAATAAATTCAAATAAATCTCGCCTAATTCAAACATAAAAGGAACAGCATGGGTTAAAATTAAAGAAACCAATGTCATAACGTTTTATATACTTCTACAAAAAACTGAGTCCGCTGTATATACAGCGACATCTACCATCACATGAACGTAGACACAGTATACGTTGTTTTTACAGTCATGGTTCTCAATTAACACCCATTTATACTTGGATTCTACTCATACTACGAACAGATGATCATTAAATTCTGTTGAACACTTAATGGTTTACTCAGGTTGTGACTGTTTGACCCTGAAAATAGCAAAAATATGAATGTGTCATGACAACAGTTTAACAATAACAAGTTAGTATGAGATGGATGAATTGATTAATAAAAACGCTCCCTTCTGTTGTTATTTATTGAAAGAGCCCAAATCAGTCTTAACTTATTCAACAGGAGTTTATAATTCATTATAGACGGTCACAATGGATTGTTAACTTGAAGCTTTCATTATTTCTGTATAATGTTTGAACAAAAGTCAGTAATATGGCAAATACAACACTCAAGTTATAGTTTACACTTTGGTGTGTCATAGCTACTGGCCCTAAAACAAAATATTGCGTTAATATCAGCACAAGGAAAATTTAAAAATTTTATTAATAGTTAAACATTACAGTAAATCATAAACACAGTCTTCACCTCTGAAGAAAACTGACGCTAAATGCGTCACTGGAAAGGCGGGAGGGACATTATAGGAAGGTAATATTTTTAGGGATATATCTGGAAAAAAGTTGCATTAATAACCGTAAAAACCGTGCTCCAGTGAAAGCATTAGGTTAGATTTAAACGCTGTAATTATGCAAATTATAAAAATAATTATATAGCGTGCATCTAAGCCTGTGTTCACTACAACAGAGTTTAATAGTAAAAAAATGCTATTAATACAAAAAATTAAGGCTTGCCAAGATTTTTATTCACTGATTAATCACAAGTCTGGATATGTTTTATTACGTACATGATATTATTTTTTGTTCAAGTTCCACATTTACAACCGATTAGTTAGTTACATAATCACACAAGAGGTAACTCGTTACGTTTGAATCTTTGACTAGACTGACGTGACGGTTAATCAAAACAGAGTGTTGTGTATTAATGTACAATGGTTATAAAGTATAAAATTTACATCTACGTTACGTTGTACTAAATAAGATTATTTTCTCGTCACACTCGGTTAGTAGCAATTACGTCGCTTTACTCTTACGAGGCACTTGTACTTCAAATTAACACTTCGTTTTTATGTTTACTTAAGTAGTAACGTGCAATTATGTTACTTAAGTCACAAATGCATGCAGGGCCACTCAACTGATATTGCATTAAGGCAGTAGAGCTATAAAAGTGTGTAAATTCAATTGAGAAACGCTGCAAAAAATTTGGACAACAACCTCTCCAAAGTGCGTTTTATAAAAACGCAATTTTTGGAACATAGTGCGAAAGTCTTGTGACCAACTTGTATGAAGCAAAGCGCTAAGTCTAACTATGGTCATAGTTAAGTTTGTCACAAGACACTAAATTTTTACAAATCATAACAACATTCAATAAACTTTGATTGTGTACAAACAAAAATAAAACAATGAGTAAAATCTAAAAATATGCAACAAGTAAAGGTACTTAGTGTAAGTGTATATAACAAACAATTATATTGTATAATATAAAGTCCAAGCGTGTGAATGAGCAACTATCTAAAAGGTACTATATTAAACTAAGTAAAGACGTGCGTAACATTCTATTATAGCATGCGATTCTAGTTGTACTTGGCGTTAAAAATCTATATTAAAGCACTTACATGTGCTCTGGATGGTGTTTGATGCATTGGATAAACTCAGTCACTGCTTTCTGTCCTGTGCAGATCTCGTGGATGGCGGTAAACAGAGGAAACCTAAAAATTCAATACGTCGTACGAATTTCATTATTAAAAATCTAATTTTCAAACAAACTTTTCTTCCATGCCCTTGTGCTTCAACATGTAGTTGACCTCCTCCGCCGTGAACGGCCCTTGCAATTTCTGCCCGTTCAGCATCTCATCTTCCAACTCCTTGATCGATTTTCCGGTTTTCGCAAACGCTTCGCTCACTTTCCGATTTCTGCCCCCGTAACACGTCGTGATTAAATCGGCCACGCCGCAGCTTTCAAAGAACGTGGATAGTTTACCACCTGGATAGAAAACATCCACAAATTTAATCATCTCCATGAGCCCTAGTCGGATAACGGCAGCTTTTGTGTTATCGCCAAGTCCTAAACCGTCTACGAAGCCTGCCCCACAAGCCACAATATTCTACAGAATCACACATTACTACGTTATAAGTACGAAACGGTGGAGATTACTTTGAGGGCGCCACAGATTTCGACGGTGTCTTCGTCGTCGACCACCACCACCCTGAAATAGTCGGTTTGGATTATGTCCCGGAGGAGGGGTCCCTGTTTTGTGTCCCGGCAACCGATGGTGGTTTCGCAGAAGTTCTCGCTTGCGACTTCTCCGGCGAGATTGGCGCCCATTAAAACTGAGCAAGGGATGCGCAGATGGCGGGTGATTATGTGGGAGATTAAGTCGATGCCGCCCCCGTCGGCCCTATCGAAACCCTGAAAGCAAAAAAACGGCTTGGTGAGATTATTATGAAATGGAGGTCACGCGACATGTGCATGATTTTATAAATAAAATGAAATTTAATTGTTTACGAAATGCTTGTGCCCTGATATTTTTAAATCGTGCAATTTTTACGCAATGTTTGCTGCAAAATTAAAAGAGTTGCGCTAATCGGTAAATACGTGCTATTTTTGATTATATTATCACTATTTCTGAAATTGATAAATTTCTGATTGTTATTTTTGGAACGACTAACAGGAACATCTGTCCACTTTGCTTTTGTTCGAAAGTTTTTAACCTTGGCATTGCTCCTATATTTACGAATAAACGGAAAGTGGATTAATCATCTAAGAATTGCATAATGATAACTGTTAGTAAAATATTTCGACTTGCAGCTATTTTTATAACATTCCTTGTGCTGTTCTTAAAATAACAACAAAAATTGTGTACACTGACGCTTTTATAATCCAAAACACAAACTTTATCAACGGGATTTAAGTATCGTTTCGAATTAAAATAACAAAGTCTTCAAGGTTAACGAATTACACACATTAAAGCATGAAATAATGTTGAAAACAATTTATTTATGTTGCATTAAGAAAGTAGGTGGCACGTGAAACAAGTATGGTTTAATTACAATTATTGCAGAATTGAGATAGCGCAGACCTATTTTATCAAGGGATTACATAACGATATTTAGGGAATTCGGTGAGTGATAACGTGATTTAACGAAAAAAAAATTCGTTCTGATAAAGCAAATCCAGGTACGCAGTAAGAGATTAATAAATAATTTAACGCGGTAATTTATTCCAGTTTTATATTAATCTTTGGGGATTATTTATAAATGCAAATATCGACATTTTTACTAGCATATTAACTTTGAAACCTTATTGGACTTTTTTTACTAAATATGGCTATTTCTGAATATGCGTTTAAATTATGACATCAAAATAAATAAGTTGGTTATTTTTCCTTAGTAAAAAATTACAGCCAAGTTAAACCCTTCTGTAGCTTTTATTACTTTAAAACAATATGATACTGAATTCACCATACTCAAAAACATTCACTTCAACAACACTTTTCAGACATAATTACCAAGAAGATTTTTTAATAAACGTATGTATATTTAATACATTTTTACTATGACGTCATAAACTTTAGAGAAGGGATGAATAAATAAATTTTAATGATGGTTCTGTGATCCTCATGAAAAAAAAATGGTTTTGGCGATAAAGTAAATTATAAAATTTGCTTTCACAAATTTTACTGTTTGTGCGATCACCTGTCAACGTATCGTTAAAGATATGAATTATCAAACTATAAATAAAAGAACATATTATCATGCCATGAATTTCAAGTCAGATTTGCTTAACAAAATTTTGAGATTACGTGATTAAATTTGTCGAAGGTATGAATAAATGAACTGTAATGAGCGATTTACCATGCTCGCAATAACCTGAAAGTGTATGCGCATAATTTCAAAGCAATTTGTAAAAATCAGAACATAGTATGTTTTACATTTTAAATAGGATTTAGTCAACAAAACTTTGAGATGACGCCTTCAAATTTTTGGTGAGGATGATCAGACAAAATTTGTTTAGCGTTTTACGATCTACACGATATTCTTAAGATGCTTGTAAAATTTCACAATAATCAGTTCAGTAGTTTCGGAGATTATTTGTCTAAGGAAATCGTCAACAGACAATAGACAGACGGAAACAGAGACCTACTTTTTCATAGTCTAAAAGTTAGTTTTCTTATGCTAAACCCTATAAGTTATGCGTATGTTTCAAGTGAGTTTTCCTTTTCAAAGTTTTGTGATGACATTAACAACATCCTAGCAAGAACACGCATATCAATTTGGATTGGTGCAGTGTAATAATAACAGTACGAGTAACCATGAAATTATTTTGTTTTTTCAAAATTTTAACAATAATGAATTAAGCCTTACTAAAGTTTCTTAAATATTTGCATTTATAATAGCATATTTTGTGAACTCATTTATATCTTCACTGAAGGAAGCTTCTTTTCAATTTTTTGGTGAATTTAAAAGTAGATTGAAAGTTTTATTGATATTCAAGTTCTAGAATTATAATACACTTCTTTATTTTCTTGTACACCACTATTAAAATGAGTTCAATCGACTGAGAATTGGTATTAAATTGTAGATAATCTTCCGCTAATTACGAATCCGAAATCACTGTTACGGTATCTATTCAAATAAACGTGCAAAATTAATGTACAATTTTCAAAATTTTTTCAACAGTGGGTTCAATCGACTGTCAAAATGGCGATAATCTGCCAATTACGAATCCAAAATCGCAGTTACATCTATTCAAATAAACGTAAAAAATGAGTTAAGTTGTCACAATTTTTACAAAAAAAATGATACAATGGGTTCAATCGACTGAGAATTGCTGTCAAATTCTAAATAATCTTTCCCCAATTACAAATACGAAATCGCCGCCACGACATTTATTCAAATCAACGGCGAAAAATGAGTTTACAATTTTCAAAATTTTTCCAAAAAAAAAATGGTAAAAATGGGTTCAATCAAATGAAAATTGGTGTAAAATTGCGGATAATCTTCTGGTAATTACGGATCCGAAATCGCCGTCAAATAAAATTATTCAAATAAACGGGAAAAGTGGTAATCAATTTTCAAAATTTTTCCAAAAAATTGTTAAAATGTGTTCAATTTACTGAAAGTTGCTGTCAACTTGTAGATAGTCTTCTACTAATTTCGAATCCGTAGTCGCCGTTACGGCATACATATATTCAAGTAACGTGAAAATAATTCACAATTTTCAAAATTTTTCCAAAAAAAAACCGTAAATTGAGTTCAATCGACTAAGAATTGGTGTCAAATTGTTGATAATCTTCCGCCAATTACAAATCCGAAATCACCGTTACGGTATTTATTCAAATAAACGTGAAAAATTAGTCTTCAATTTTCAAAATGTTTCCAAAAAAAAAAAATGGTTACAATGGGTTAAGTCGACTGTTAAATTGGCATTCCAAAAACCTGAAAAATTTAAAATTGAAAAATCGTAAATTAAAGAATCAAAAAATTGAAAAATCAAGAACCTGAAAAGTCGAAAAATTGAAAAACTGAAAAATCGAGAAATGAGAAAATCAAAAAATCTCAAAACTGAAATATGTACCGAAAAATTGAAAATTGATAAATTGAGAAATTGATAAATTGAGAAATTGAAAAATCGAGAAATGAAAAATTGAAAATTGATAAATTTAGAAATTGAAAAATCGAGAAATGAAAAATCGAAAAAATCTCAAAACTGAAGTATCAAAAAATTGAGAAAGCGAAAGTTGAAAATTCGAGAAATCGAAAAATCGAAAACCGACAAGTCGTAAAATGGTAAAATTGAAAGATCGAAATATCAGGAAATTGAAAAATATAAAAATTCGAAAAATTCCTAAAGGTAAAAATCAAAAAATTGAAAAATCTCGAAACTGAAATATCGAAAAATTGAGTACATATTTGAAAAATTGAAGAATCAAAAAATGAAAAATTCCCAAAACTGAAACTTCGAAAAATTGAAAAAGTGAAAAATCGAAAAATGGGAAAATCAAAAAATTGAAAAATCGGAAAATCAAGAATCGAAAATTTGAAAAATCTCAAAACTTTGTGATTGGAAAGTGTGAAGTGGAAAGTTAAAAACTCGAAAACCGAGAAGTTGTGAAATCGTAAAATGAAAGATCCAACTATCAGGAAATTGAAAAATTGAAAATTCCAAAATATAAAAATCAAAGAACTAAAAAATTGGAAAATCGAGGAAACGAAAAACTAATACATATATCGAAAAATAAAAAAATCAGGAAATCAAAGCAGTAAAAATTGAAAAATTTTAAATCGAAAGTCTAAAATTTAAAAAATCGAAAAACTGAAAAATCCCAAAACTAAAATTTCGAAAAATTGAGAATTGGAAAAATAAAAAAATCGTAAATTGAGGCATCGTGAAACTGAAGTATGGGAAAATTGAGAAATTGAAATTGGAAATAATCGAGAAATCGACCATTTGAAAAATCGCGATATTGAAAAATCGAGAAATTGAAAAATCAATAAATGGAAAATTGAAAAATCAAAGAATCAAAAAACCGAAAAATCCCAGAACTGAATTTTCGAAAAATTGAGAAATCGAAAGTTGAAAACTCGAGAAATCGAAAAATACAAAGGCGAGAAGTTGTGAAATCGTAAAATTGACAGATCGAAATATCATGAAATTGAAAAAATGAAAATTCGAAAAATTCCAAAATGTATAAATCAAAGAATGGAAAAATTGAAAATTTTCGAAACTGAAATATGTATCGAAAAATTGAAGAATCAAGAACCTAGAAAAATAAAAAAATTGAAAAACTGAAAAATCGAAAAATGGGAAGGAAATTAAAAAAGTTGAAAAATCGTAACATCAGGAAATTGAAAAATTCTAAAATATAAAAATTAAAGAACTGAAAAATTGGAAAAATAGAAATAAAAGCATCAAAAAATCGAAAAATTAAGAAATGAGAAAATAAAATCGAAAACTGAAGAATCGAAAAATTGAAACATCTCGAAACTGAAACATCAAAAAATTTAATAAACAAAATACAATTTTGTTTTTTTTTTTTAATTGGGTGTCTAGGGTAAAGAATCAAAAAATCAAGACAGATTCATAAACTATACGGGCAGGATTATGTTACATGATATTTCTAAACTATATAGAGGGTGTCTTTTTTATTTGATACATCCCATGTAACTTTTTTATTTTTAAAGATATTCGGAATATTCAAAAATTGAGTAATTGAAAAATTGAAGAATCAAAAAACGGAAAATTCCCAAAACTGAATCTTCGAAAAATTAAAAAAGTGAAAAATGGAAAAATGGGAAAATCAAAAAATTGAAAAATCGGAAATTCAAGAATCGAAAATTTGAAAAATCCCAAAACTGAAATTTCGAAAAATCGAGAAATGGGAAAATAAAAAAATTGATCTAAAGAGTTTAGACAGTACTTCCCTCACTGTCGGAAAGGTGACGACTGCATGCCTATTATGTTTTTTTTTCGCATTAGATTTCAAAGCATTCGGTTTTGTAGTTCTTGATTAAATCAATAAAATAATTTGCGCATTAATTAAATTTTTTGAGTCACCCTGTATATCCAAATCAAAAAAATATGAACGGAATGATAAATTACAAGAAGAGACTCATCATATTTTGTACATTTTAGATAGGATTTATTCAGCAAAATTTTGGGGTGACGTCATCAATTTTTTGGAGGGGATAACTAAATATATTGTGATTAAAATTTTATCATGCTTATCATAACTGTAAACCATCTGCAAGATTTCAAAGCATTCGGTTTTGTACATTTCAAATTAAATCCCAAAATGTTGTTTCCTAATTTTGATTTTTTTTCCAAAAATCTGGACGTCTCGGGTAAAATCTCAATTCGGAGTCATAAACTACATGTGTAAGACTATGCTATTTGATATAATTTAAAACCCAATTACTATCTACAATTTTGAAGTGACGTCGTCACATTAGTGGTGGGGATCATTAGACAAATTTTGAAAAATTGGAAAATTAAGAAATCAACGCATCAAAAAATCGAAAAATTAAGAAATGGGAAAATAAAATCGAAAACTGAAGAATCGAAAAATTGAAAAATCTCGAAACTGAAATATCGAAAAATTTAATAAACGAAATACAGTTTTGTTTTTTTTAAATTTGGGTGTCTAGGGTAAAAGATCAAGACAGATTCATAAACTATACGTGTAGGACTATATTACATGATATTTCTAAAATTCATACAGGGTGTCTTTTTTATTTGATACATCCCATATAACTTTTTTATTTTTAAAGCTATTCGGAATATTCAAAAATAAAATTTTCATTATGAGGTGGTCTGCATTTTCTTTAATCGTGGATTTTGTCGATCAAAAAAAAAATGTTTTAATTTAAATTTAATTAAACGAGGCGAATAAAAACATGGTTGTTAATTTTTCAGCTTTTTTACTGAATAATTAAATTAACACCACATCGACTATCAAAAAGAAAGTTTTTAAAACGATAAGTCAGATATTAAAGCTCCAGAGGTTACAATATCGTTATCCTGAAACCCGAGGAAAATGAAAATTTCTACGAAAAATGGAAATCCAATTATCTGAGGTAATATTACAATAACAGGTTGCATATTTTTCAACTTTCTATACAAAATGTAAATATTTAAAAACATGGCCGTAATCTTTATACCCTTGGGTTTTGAATTTCCTCTTGAAGTTAACCGAGTTACATTTATAACAGCGACACCGGTAGCTACTCATATAACAACGTAAACAGAATTCACTTTGTATCAACAATTTCCAACAACAAGATATCGATTTCGCTGATAAGCATTTTTTGGAACTGGTTATGTGCAAAGTTCATACTACTATACAAAGTTCCACCAAAGAAACAAAGTCTAATATCTTTAATAGAATGACAATGTTTTATTGCGACAATGACAATCAAAATTTATCACTCAACTACACATCACACTAAAAAAACAAGCGTTTTACTTGTAAAACAAGTGTGAAGGTCGGAATGAATTGACCGTCCACGTATTGTCACAAAGTATTAAAAAAAAACCTGTTTTGATTAAATTAAAGTAGTGACAATTTTCTGAAAAGCTACAAAACACATTTCTGCGACAAGGATATCACTTCCTTGTTAGCATGAAAGCAGCATTTTAATTTACTCAAACTAAACTGGCTGTTCAAATTTAACATAATGGGGTAATTATGCTCTAATAAGTAGCGGTTGTGAAATGTGTGGAATTTTAACTAACATTTTATCAACTATGCTATCTGAAGGTGTTACAAATATTCCTATGTACACTGTTTTAACATTTCTATAATTAGCAGTGGTATTGTTTGCACTGAACAATGATTGTGTGTCTCATCCAAAAGTAGAGATAATTTAATGTGCTGTAGGTCACAACACAATTATGTAACTCAATTCAACTGACCTTTATCAAAGATAAAGCTATTGCAGTGGGCTTAATCTTCCCCAGTAGTGTCGAGCAAATAGTTCGTATGAACTGATGGGGCAACACAAAAATCAATATATCTGCATCCTTGGCGGCATCCACGACATCCGCTATAGCCACCTGAAACGAAAATAAATAAGATAAGGAATTCCGTTAACAAGATGGAAATGTAGAGATGAAAGTACATAGTTCAAATTGAATTCTAAGGTCACATTATCGTGGCTATTGTGACGAAAAACAAGATCATTACCACATTAGCTGGTAATTTATGCCCAGGGAGGTACTTGACGTTTTCGTGAGTGTCATTGATGATATCTGTGAGCTTCTTCCCATTGATGATCTCTTCGTACACATACATGGTAACTTTGTCATCGAAGTTGGGTAAACGGAGGGCATTGTTCCCGACGATCTTTGCAATGGCAGAGCCCCTGAAACAGCGTTACCTTGACATATGCGGAAATAAATGCACGAGAGGTTGGAACAACGTGCCAAGGCAGTTATCTAACTAGCAATACTGGCTCTTAAACTGGAAAAAAACACCGACTACGTTTCTAGTTCTAGCACTAGCACAACAAACAATTTGATTTACCAGTTGCCGCTGCCTACTATGCACACTTTTTTTAATTTCTGGGACATTTTCGCGTTTGTTTGGAAGAGGTTATTGCGGTGACAGCTGCAAAGCTTACTTGTCAGCGACTGCTGCGATTGTTGTCTATAAATCGTAGCGGGGGCTGATAAACGCGATGCCGCCCAGAATATTCTGCCAATGGGGACTTGATAAAATGGGAGATGGCCAATCATGTGGCACTGAGGAGGTCATCCACTTATTCCTTATCAGAGTGACCACTAGGTACTAACCTTGCAAGAAGGGAACAGATCAAGTGCAACCGCGCGAAGTTTAAGGTCTAATTAGTACGAGTGTGCACTTTGTCATCGTATAAATAACTTTTTTGGAATGAGGAGCGGTGATTTATGCGAAGAAGTGGGTTAATTTCGGCACAACGTGTGGTGTGTTGCGTAACTCATCATTTTAGCGGATGTACTTAGGTACTTGTGTAGGAGCTGTTCGGAAAGTGTCGTTTCGCTATTTTTGTTCCGTTGCATTGCCCTAAAGTGTCATTGAAACAATTAAACTCCAGAGGAATTAAAAAAAATAAGGCCCAAGACCAGAGATTGCGAAATTTTTTGTTGTTTTGTCACGATTTGAAAAAATCAAGGTCACAATATGAAATATTTTTAGGAATAAATAATAAACACCAAGGTAAATGCAACGCAAGAAATGCAGGACAATCTACGTTGCAACACTAATTTGTTTTTTTAATTTTTTTTTTTTTCCGGAAGCATATGGAGCTTATTACGCAGTCAAAAGTCGATTTTAGCGCAAAATGAGTATTTGTTTTATGGGGCAACTAACGCATGATAATTTTATGACTTATTTACTTACCAGTTGTCGAGAAGGTTAACTTTTAATAGACCGAATAAACGTTTTCGTTTATAGATATTTTGATGTGTGGAATTTTTGACGTCACAATTTTTTTTCCAATATTTAGCTTCTTTTGTTGGTGCATCAACTGGACAGCAGGTTTTTTTAACAAATGCGAAAGTGAAAGGAATTTGTAAGAAGCATTTTTTATTTTCTTGTTGTAAATGTTAAAGTGCTCACCAAAATTTGGCTGATCATCTCTACCAATCCTATTTAAAAAATGAGAAACGACACTGCAAACAAAACTCGGATGGCAGCTCTTCTCTTCTCTTCGAGTTTTCAGTTTTAAATTTTCCAGTTTTTCGATTTTCCAACTTTCAGACGTTTCAATTTTTAGATTTTGCAGTTTTTAGATTTGACATTCCACGAGTTTTGATTTTTTTTATTTCTTCAGTTTTTCGAGAAAAACGAGAAAGTAGAAGTTATTCTACATGGCTTATGTACATAAAGAAAAAAAAAAAAAACAAAGATTAAGCCCCACCCACCCGCCCCGATCTCAATTGTGATGAATTTTTCATTCCTAATCAAACCGAGGGGCGGAGTTTTATTGTGGCATCAAAATTTTTCTAGAAGATTCTATACTTTTAAAAACATATTTCATGTGGTAATTTGTTGTACAGAAATGAGGATTCAGCAACTAAACTCTACCCTTCAGGTCACGATGATTAAAAAATTCATCACAGTTGAGAAGGGGTGGGTGGGCGGGGCTTATATTTTGTCCATTTTTTCTTAATATACGAAGTCTTTTTTTCCCAACAAGAAACTGAAAACATGTTAAATATCCTGTTGTTGCAAGAAAACTCTATATATTAAAAAAATGATTAAACCCCGCCCACCCACCCCGATTTCAATTGTGATGAACTTTTCATTCGTTGTTAGACGGAGTAATTGCAAAATACACATTTCTCTACAAAAATTTACCATTTTCAACATGTTTTCAGTTTCTTGTTGAGAAAAGAAGGCTACAAGTATGATAAATAAATTGACTTTTTCATTAATTGTTATTGAGTCACACTGTATAAGAAATTTAAAAACTTTTTATGCAATGATAAATCACAAGTATAGAGTCATATTTTGTACATTTTGGATAGGATTTATTTGGCAAAATTTTTAGATAACGTAATCAATTTTTGGGGTTGATGAATAGATATATTTTGCATAACGATTTACCATGATTACGATAACCTTAAAATATTTACAAGATTTTAGAGCATTCGGTTTTGCAGTTTCAATTCAAAGTTGTATTGCAAAATATTGCTATTTAGTTTTGAATTTTTTGCAAAAATTTTGGATGTTTAGGGTGAAAATTCGATACGGATTCACACACCACAAGTGCAGGAGTAACTTATTTTATGAAATTAAAAAAAACTTTTTATTTTAAATTTTCAAGATTGCGTCATCCTATTAGTGGTGTTGACGATTAGCCAAATTTTAGTTGGTATTTAATCATCTACATGATATTCCTAATACATATACAAAATTTGACAACAATCGCTCTGAGTAGTTTCGGAGATTACTTGTCTAATAAAGATGGATACAGACAGACAGACGGAAACGGGAGACCTATTTCTTCGTACTCTAGGGGTCATGAAAGGTCCAGAAAACGTAAAAGTAGAGAGTCGGCCCACGGACTCGATTACAGTACTTCCTTCGCTTAGGCTGGGGAAGTAAAAATTGACAAAAAATAAAAAAGATAAAAATAATGAAAAAAAAAGACAAAAACAAATGTGAAGGGAAAATGCCAAAAAGCGAATAAAAATAAAAGTAACAAATACATAAATGGGACAAATGAAAAGCTACCAAAAACAGAAAAGTGAACAAAAGAAGCGATAGGTACAAAAAACTTGTCGAAAATTTTAATTTCAAAATTAGTCTAAAGAGTTTATACAGTACTTCCCTCGCTGTCGGAAACGTGACGACTGCATGCCTATTATGTTTTTTTTCGCATTAGATTTCAAAGCATTCGGTTTTGTAGTTCCTGATTAAATCAATAAACTAAATTTGCGCAATCATTAAATTTTTTGAGTCACCCTGTATATGTAAATCCAAAAAATATGAATGGAATGATAAATTACAAGAAGAGACTCATCATATTTTGTACATTTTAGATAGGATTATTCGGCAAACTTTTGAGCTGACGTCATCAATTATTTGGAGGGGATAAGCAAATATATTTTTATTAAAAATTTATTATGCTCTTTGTAACCTTAAAACATTTGCAAGATTTCAAAGCACTCGCTTCTATAGTTCCTGATTAAATCAATAAAAGAAATTTACCCATTCATTAAGTTTTTGGGTCACCCTGTATATGCAAATCTAAAAAAATATGAATGGAATGATAAATCACAAGAAGAGACTTATCATATTTTGTACATTTTAGATAGGATTTATTCATCAAAATTTTGGGGTGGCGTCATCCATTTTTTAGACGGGATGAGCAAATATATCTTGATAAAAAATTTACCATGCCTATGATAAATGTAAAACATTTCCAAGATTTCAAAGCATTCGGTTTTGTAGTTCCTGATTAAATCAATAAAATAAATTTGCGAATTCATTAAATTTTTTGAGTCACCCTGTATATGTAAATCCAAAAAATATGAAAGGAATGATAAATTACAAGAAGAGACTCATCATATTTTGTACATTTTAGATGGGATTGTTCGCCAAACTTTTAAGCTGACGTCATCAATTTTTTGGAGGGGATAGCACATATGTTTTGACTAAAAATTTATTATCCTCTTTATAACCCTAAAATATTTGCAAGATCTCAAAGCATTCGGTTCTGTAGTTCCTGATTAAATCAAAAAAATAAATTCACGCATTCATTAATTTTTTTGGGTCACCTTGTATATGCATATCCAAAAAATATGAATGGAATGATAAATCACAAGAAGAGACTCATCATATTTTGTACATTTTAGATAAGACTTATTCAGCAAAATTTTGGGGTGACGTCATCAATTTTTTGGAGGGGATAACTAAATATATTGTGATTAAAATTGTATCATGCTTATCATAACTGTAAACCATCTGCATGATTTCAAAGCATTCGGTTTTGTAGATTCCAAATTAAATGTCAAAATGTTGTTTCATAATTTTGATTTCTTTTTTTTCAAAAATCTGGACGTTTAGGGTAAAATCTCAATTCGGAGTTATAAACTACATGTGTAAGAATATGTTATTTGATACAATTTAACTACTAGTAAGGCCCCTTTAGAACACAATACGTTTTTAATGCTTTTAGCCTGGTTTTCAAAGTAACTTTTGAAAAGTTAAAATTTTTAAAAGAAATTGCCCGGTTTTTCGAAGTCACCCCTTTTTAAAAAAGTCAAAATTTTAAGAAATGTATCCTGTTTTATCAAACGTGAATATGGTTTCGGCCAAGAAAAGTTACCATTTAAAAACACTTAAAATTCGTCTTTTTCCCTTGATATTTTAACAGTCTTCTTAATTAAAAATTAAAATTCCCCTTTTTACTGCTTTTTGTTGGGGCACTTCAGCACAAAAATGAATACGGTTTCGTTCAAACAAATTCACCTTTTAAAAACACTTAAAATCAGTGGGGGGCAAATTGTCCCCCACTGATATTCTACTGTAAATCCAAAATTATCGTAATTTATCACAGTTATGTTTATGTTTACGTATTTTTTTGTTGGGCCACTTCAGCACAAAAATGAATCTCTGACCACTGAATTTGCCCGACGTAACAAAAACCTGCATTTCAATTAAGATTAGTTTTTAAATGTATATTCAAAAAAGCAAATACCTATCAGGTCATGCATCATAAAAACTTATAGGGCACTAGCGACTAGCGTAGCGAGCGTTAGGAGTGTGTTCCTCGAGTGTTAATCGATTGTGTGGAAATAATTGGAAATTATTTGTAAGTGAGGCATTAGATATATTGACTTGCATATCCTGTGGTTGGACGCATAGTGTGTTCAGCTGCATTAGCAGTTGACATCAATTTGAGGTAAATCACAGGGTCGAGGTGGAGATTATCGGTGAGTTTACTTCAGCTGATAATTTCTTTTAACTACTCTCGGAAAAAATTGTCATGAGACATTGTGGGCTGCCTATATCACTGTCAATTTAGTTTACAATATGAGTTCTCAAATTAATGATTTTCCAACAAAGGAACAAGCTATTATTGTTACAGCTGTCGATGGTTTGCAATTAAAAGATTATGTATCTGCAATTACTGAAATTGTAGAACCTAAGAACATATTAT